TTTATATATATATATATATATATATATATATATATATGTAATCTTCCACTTTTTTTTATTTGACATATGTATTTTGGAATAAAAAAATACATATTAGATATGATTTATGAAAAATATTTAAAAAAAATAAATTCTCACTAAAGACAGTCAAATTCAAATGAATAAAAAATTAATTCAGTATTGCTTAAAAGAGATTAATAATCTCTTAAGCCAAAGATTAATTGGAAAAAGTAAAACTTTTTGGTCTAATTTTATATTTTATGTCAACAAGCAAGCAAAATTAGAAAAATAATACTTAAATTAATTATAAACTTTTTAATAAGTCTTTTAATGATTAGGTATCCTATTTATAATAAGAATAATCCTTTTAATAAATTAAATAATATAAAAAATATTTTCTAAATTTAATATAAAATTAGGATATCAATAAATTTAAATCAACAAAATAGATAAATATAAAATTACTTTTATTATTGTTCTTTTTGAACAATATAAATTAAATGTAATACCTTTAATATGAAAAATGCTTCTATTAAATTTTAAAAAATTATAAATAATCTATTCAATTCTTATTTTAAATTTGTCATTGTTTACATAAATAATATTTTTTTTCAATCTATTAACATGCACTTTAAGCATGTTAATGTTTTTATGAATATTGTAAAGTATTTTAACAATATAATTAAATTTTTTGTATGATAGGTTTAAGAAAAATCCTGCACCTTAAATAGATATTCATGCTGATGTTGTAAAAGAGATTATGCTTATATATATATATATATGTATATATAATTATATTTTTTAATATTTAAATAATAATTTTATAATAAAAATTGTTATCTTAATAAATATTTAAACTAATATTATTATAAATTAGAAGATGAAATTATAATTTTAATTAAAAAATGGAATAGCACTTAGCCAGTGTCTCTAAATTTTTTCCAATGAAAGGAAAGCTCTGAAGGCCTCCTATGAGAATGTTTAAACTTTAAATCACTACGTCAGCATGAAGTGGAGAGCAGGCTATGGCATTGGCTACAATATTTTGAACAGGAACGGGTCAACATGACATAAGCAAATATGTTAAGAGGACCCAATCAGCGTGTTAATATTTTTTCCGAATCTAGCACCTTCTCTTCTGTTCCCAGTTTCTATTATAAATACACATATCAATTGCCCAATATCTCCATTCAAAACCTTCCCCAAACCAAAACCAAAATCTTCCCCTTAATGGCTTCCTTACGAGCCTCGTTGCTACTTAACAACCCCTTATCTTCTTCAAATTATTCTTCTTTAAGGAAAACCAATTGCGCTATCAATGTCTCGAAACTACCACGTGTCTCTTTTTCTTTTCCAAAAGCATCATCATCAAGGAGAATTCTCGTTGAGGAATTGGACAAATTCTCAGACACAGCCCCATTAATGGAAAAGAACGACACCATCAAAATATTACATGATGGTAATATATTTGACAACTCTACAAATTCAAAGGCCATTATTCAACTCTATGCAGTCTTGGAGGCTATAGCTGACAGAATTGAAATGCATAACAACGTTGGAGAACAACGTGACAATTGGAACACCCTCCTATCAAACTCCATCAACATGATAACGCTCACAGCTTCAGCCATGGCTGGTGTTGCTAGCATGGATAGTTGTGGTGGTGCACCACTTTTATCTCTGAAGCTTTCATCTGCTCTTTTGTTTTCTGCTGCCACGGGGATGTTACTCGTGATGAACAAAATCCAGCCCTCACAACTTGCTGAGGAGCAAAGGAACGCTACAAGACTGTTTAAGCAGCTTCAAACACAAATCCAAACCACTATTGCAATTGGAAATCCCAGTGAAGGTGATGTGAGGGATGCAATAGAAAAGGTTTTGGCTCTTGACAAATCTTATCCACTTCCTTTGTTGGGAGTAATGCTTGAAAAGTTCCCAGCTAAGTTTGAAGGAGCTAGGTGGTGGCCAAAAAGTAGATTGAATAGCAATGATAAAGTGCATGACAAGTACAAGATGGATATTAAGAACAATAATGGATGGAATGTGGAGTTGGAAAAGGAGATGAGAGAGGTTATTGAAGTGGTGAAGAGAAAAGACATGGAGGACTATGAGAGGTTAGGTAGCTTGGCCCTGAAGATAAACAAGACTTTAGCTATTTCAGGACCATTGCTCACTGGGGTTGCAGCATTATGGTCTGTGTTTGCAGGAGATGGATCATGGGCATGTCTAGTTCCTGTTCTTGCTGGGGCTTTGGCTACAGTGGTTAATGCTTTTGAGCATGGAGGGCAAGTTGGTATGGTGTTTGAAATGTACAGAAACTGTGGTGGATTTTTTCAGCTGTTGGGAGAGACTATTGAAGCAACAATTGAAGAGAAAGACTTGGAACATGGAGAGCTGTTTGAAATGAAGATGGCTTTGCAATTGGGAAGAAGCGTGTCGCAGCTGAGAGAACTTGCCTCAAAATCTGCTTCCTGTCGTATAGAAGGAAGCGAGATAGATGAATTCGCCAGCAAACTCTTCTAAGATCAACATTAATTATTTATTGATTTTTCCTTTAATTTTTTACATACCCAAATTTTCAAATTCTTTTCGATGTATATAATATTGCATATAGTCATCATGACCCGGAAAAATGTGAGGCTAATCAGATGAAAATGTAGTTTTTTAGTGTAGATATGAGATGTCCCATACATGTTCATTTACAATGTATAAATGTTTATCTCAGATCACTGTTATGTTATTATTATTTTACATTTGTAAAAATGTCAAAGTGTCAAAAAAAGGGTGAAGAGAGAGAATAAAAAGGCTACTTTCCATATAAAAAATAAGTACCAAAAAAGTAATATGAAATAATCGAGATTCATTTACAATTGCATGCTAATAACCCTTGTATATTATAAAAATCTTACACATTATGTTATTTCAGTATATAATAAATCATTGACTGTTCCAAGTTTTAAAAAAGAGACCCGATCAAGAGAAGCCTTACTTATTTGAATATATACAGCGTTGCCGACTGAGTTATTGAAATTATTATTAGTTTAACCAAACGAGTTCTGACCTAAGTGCTAATATCGGACCAACCCCCTCTCTCCCGGCACTTCCCAAAAAACGGGGCCTATTGCATCAGTTATGTTTCACATCTCTAAAAATAAAAATAAAACTATGCACACAAAATCATATAGGATTATCTCCATAAGCCATGCTACTGCAAAATCAGAGTTAAATCCCTCAAAGTATATATCAAATGTCTATTTAGATTACTCCCGTTTAATTTGTTTATAAGAAATGATAATTAATTCATTATAATTAATAAAAACTAATCATACCTCATAAATTTACAGGGTATTTTAAAAATATCCATAATAATAAATAGTAAAATTAGTATATCATACAGTAAATAAATAAATTTATATAAATAATGAGTGAATGTATTATTAATATATAAATTTCATAATAAATAAAAGTATAGAAAATTTTAACAATTAATATATCTTAAAATATACTTTTTTTTATATTTTTTAAAAACTAATAGTTATTTTTTATAAATAGAACTGAAGAGAGTATTTTATTATATTTCAAAATAATTTATGGTGTTTTTATCAGAAAAAAATAGTACAAGAGGTATTTTAACCCTCAGTACAGAAGGATTACATAGAGTTGTAATCAAATAATATATGACTAAAATATTATTAGAAGATTTTTATGTTTTTGAAAAAAGAAATTATCTCAAAACCAGTTAAATGAAACGCTTGCTTGCTAAGTAATTTTGATGAGAGTAGTGACACATATCATCCTCTTTGGAACAGACATACTCATCAAATTTATAGATAAATGCGTATATGCATTTGTAGCGGTCTCCATCGTCATTGAATACGATGTTTATCGACCCGAATATTTTATAAAAAATATTTTTTGAATTTGCCTGTGTTTTTATGGTATTTTGGACATTGGTTCTTTGGTCCGCACAAACAAACAAGTAAGCAAATCCTTGAAAAACAAGCAAGTGATCTTATTATACAAATAAAAAATAAAACCCTTCGTTTGCAAGAAATATGAAAAAGCGTTGACGTTGTTTTCCCCTCAAGTTCTACCATAGGATGAATTGTGAGCCTGGTCTAATGTTTAGAGTTTTTAATATATTTGTTCTGTGGCCACACCAATCCTATGCCTGGATTTTATTTTAAATTTTTTTTAATCAAATATATAAATTGTTTATTTATTTGACAATGTTGAGCAGAATAGATAAAAAGGGGGGGGGGGGGCGGGGGAGACTACTGGATGTAACGTGTCGATTAATGTATATATGATAAATATATACATATATATGTATGTATGTATTTAATCCATATGGATATTAATAAATTCTATTAGTAGCTGTCAAACTTTACGTACATTATATTTGACATTTGTATTCATATTGTAACTTTTTCCGACTTCATTATTTACACTCATTTCATACCTCCATGCGTCTCTTTTTTCATTCTCTCAACGAACGTATTCGCCAACTTCATCAGCTATTTCCCGATCACACCAAATAGGAATAAAAAGATATGAAACAATTGGACTCAAACTGAGAAAACAATAATCTTACTTAAGGGCGTATGATGGACCTTGAGAATGTCAAAATATATTTAAACATTTATCGTGATGTCCATGACATAAAATAAAACCTTGGAAAACATGCAAGTGGTATATATAATATGAACTTGCGAGCCACGAAGTAAAAACCATCAAAAACTACGTCGCAATTGAGACCCAGGACATGACCTATCCGAGTATCCGAGTGTGAGACGAAAATGTTTGAACAACGGAATGAAAATCAACGGACAAAAAGTCAAAGCCTAACAGCTAGTCAACAGTTTCCATATCTGACCCCTTCTCCCCTTGTTCACACATAAGCACTATATATTACAATCCAGTGATGCCCCCTTTCACCAAATCCACAATTAAGAATATCACACAAAAACACACTCAACTGACATCTGATCTGAGATCCTATGGCTTCCTTACAAAGTTCGTCTTTGCTTTCTAATTCCCTTTGTTCACCATCTCCTTCACAAAGAATAAAATCCTCTATCCACATCCCAAAACTCCCTAGATCTCCTTCCCAAGCTCCAAAGCCAAAACCAAGTAGAAAACTTTTTGAGGAATTGAAAGGCTTCACACACACAATCCCAACGTTCCAAAACAATTCATGTAACAACCCAACAACGTCAAAAACTACCATTCAACTCTATGCAATACTAGAAGCCGTAGCCGACAGAGTAGAGATGCATCACAACATCGGCGAGCAACGTGACAACTGGAACACCCTTCTTTTAAACTCCATCAACATGATTACTCTCACTGCATCAGCCATGGCCGGTGTTGCAGCCACGTGTGGCACTGGCGCGCCACTTTTAGCTCTGAAATTATCATCCACACTCTTGTTCTCTGCCTCCACGGGGATGTTGATGATCATGAACAAAATCCAGCCCTCCCAACTCGCTGAGGAACAAAGAAATGCTACGAGGTTGTTCAAACAACTCCAGTCCCACATCGAAACAACAATAGCCATCGGTAACCCAACCGAGGATGATGTCAAGGATGCAATGGAGAAGGTTTTGGCGCTTGACAAAGCATACCCACTTCCTTTGTTAGGAGCCATGCTTGAAAAATTCCCTTCAAAATTTGAACCTGCGGTTTGGTGGCCCAATTCAACATCATCATCATCTTCAAAAAGAAGCAAATTTCAAGATCGTGAAACAAAAGAACGCGTGAAGAATACTAGTAATAATGGATGGAATGAAGGACTAGAAATGGAACTAAGGGATATCTTAGAAGTGGTTAAGAGAAAAGACGTGAAGGACTATGAGAGATTAGGGAACATGGTGTTGAAGATCAACAAGAGTTTGGCCATTGCAGGGCCTTTACTCACTGGCATTGCGGCTGTGGGATCTGCATTTGTGAGTGAAGGGTCATGGGCATCTATAATAGCGGTTATGGCAGGAGCATTAGCCACTGGTGTTAATGCTTTAGAGCATGGTGGGCAAGTGGGGATGGTGTCTGAAATGTACAGAAGCTGTGGTGGATTCTTTCAATTGGTTGAGAATTCGATCCAAGAAACAATCGAGGAAGATGAGGAGCAAAGAGAAAATGGGGAATTGTTTGAAATGAAGTTGGCTTTGAAATTGGGAAGAAGCTTGTCACAACTTAGAGATCTTGCAAGAAAATCTGCTTATTCTCGTGTAGAGGGAACTCCCATTGATGAATTCGCTAGCAAGCTCTTTTAAGTTCTATTTTTGTCCCCTACAATCTAACAAAAAATTAATTCAATTCTGTTATTCCAGTTTAATTATTCTTTTTACAACATTTATTATCTTTATTTTTTTATTATTCTTTGCGGGCTCGCGCGTGTAAATAAATTAATTTGCTTGGACTCAATATTTAAAAAAATCACGTTGACAATACTTGTCAAATTATGCAATTTCATCGTCATCTTTTACCAAATCGGCAACCGTGTAGACTTTTCAAGTTCCTGCAAGGAAATCATCGTAAAATTACAACTTTTTAAAATTCCGATTCTGTTTATATATATATAATATTTTTAAAATATATTAATTATATTAAAGATATAAAATTATAATAAATATTTTTTTAAAAATTATTATTTTTAATTGATTAAGCTAAGCATTAAAGACTAAAATTAACATTTTTAAAAAATTATAATATTTTAAAGATATAAAATGAAATAATTCAAATAAATACTAACTAGTGCATCAAATGATCAAGAAATTTTTAAAATATTATTAATATACTTTTATTATAACTTATAATATATCTCCGACCAAACTTAGAGATCTAAGTAAATGAATTTTAGGATTTTTTTTTTTTTTGGAGTTGAAGATAAAAAAAAGGAAAAAAAAATTGAAGTAAGCATTCCCTCCAACTAAGACATTAAAAGAGTCACCTCAGAATATCATACGGACATCAACATGCATGCTACTGGTATTTGCTGTTTAAGTAAAAAAAAAATGTTAAAGATGAATCTTTAGAGACTCAATTAATTTTAATTATGATAAAATAACAAATTTGAACTTAATCATTTCAGGGACAAGTTTGATAATTCACTTAAAATTATAATGTTAGATATTTCCCTTTAAAATATAATGCATAAACTCCCAAATATTGTTTTCCTTTTGTTTTACATCCTATTATTATTATTATTATTATTATTATTATTATTATTATTATTATTATTATTATTACTATTATTATTGTTGTTGGGAGAACATAAAAGTTCGAAAGCTTTTCATACCAAGTTTTACTATTACTAAGCAACGTGTTTATTTAGTATTAGTTGAATAATAAATATAAAATTAAAAAATAACAGAAAGCTTGAGATAAACTATTAATATGTTATTAGTATACATATGTTTGATTTAATTTAATTTAATTTTCAAGAAATAATTACTTATTTTGATTATTTTCATAAGAGAATTTTTAAAAATTATTTGTTAAAACTTAAAATTTTTTAAATATGCTTGGTGATTTACATTGAAAGCAAAATGAGCGGGAAAAAATGAATGAAAATAGATAAATGCATATGGACAGGGAAATATAACTATGAAATATGATTTAATTTTGACGGAGCTTTGAAGGAAAGTAGCTTTGGTATGTAATAAAACAAAAATTAATATATAATTTCTATCTTTTTTTTAAAAATATTTTAACAGTAAAATGTAATAAACAGTCTTGTTAATCGGTTTCCTCGTAACATTGTTTAAGAAATTGAAAGATAATTATTTTTTTAAGAAATGTGTTTAGTCGTATTGAAAATTATAAGAAATTTGCATTTATTATATCTTTTACAAAAAAATTTCACTTTTAATACGTTAACCAATGGTCTAAAAGTACTGGTTAGTATTTGTCTATATTAAAATACAAAAAAAAAGTATATATATTTAATTTAAAATTTAATTATGTATAATAAATGATTCAATTTAAATTAATAAAGAATATGTTATTTTTCACTTTAACAAATTTTTCACTCTAGAGGAGTTAAATCAAAATATGATATATTTTAATTTTATTTTAAAAAAGTGTAATAAAAGGGGAAAATAAGATAAAAAAATTCATTAAATTATATTCATACACCAAATGCTCCTTAATTTAGTAAATTATATGATAGTAATTAAATTTTAATTTTTATTAATAGACTAATATTTTGGAATGGCTCTACCATATAGCTAAACAATTGGCAAGAGGCCCACTCTAGTCGGCTTTTATGTTCGGTAGCCCATCGAAGCCTTATTTCTCAGTAATCTGAATTCTCAGAAAAAAAAAAGCCATCAATTTATTTATTTATTTATTTGATGAAGAAGAAAATAATCATAAATATTTTTAAATTTTTGTTAATTTTAATTCTTAGAATTGAGTTTAAATATTTATAAATAAAAAAAATTTATAAAAAATATATAAGTTATAAAAATATAATAAATATTTTTTAAAATAAAATTTTATTATTATTAACTGTTTATCTTTAATTCTAACTATTGACGTTAAAAAAATTTATATTTTTAATATTAGCAGAGAGTTAGAATCCTGGTTGAAGTAATTCTCACACTTCCCTCCTCTAATGCTCAGTCCTTTTACCAAAAACACCATTCTTAAGACCAATTAATTCTTATAGTTTTTTTTTTCCACTTCATAAATTCAGAATAAAAAATACTTCAACCCGTTATAAGAGAATTAATAATACTGTCAATAGATTATTAATTAATTCAATATATATATATATATATATATATAAAATTAATTTTTTCAATGGTCAAGTCACTTCCAAAAATATACTTAACAAAATCATATTTTTCCTCAAAAATCATATTTTTCCTCAAACTTTTTATGAATCAACACTGGAAAATCATGTTTTTCCTCGGTCCGTTCAACTTGTGTTTTTCATAGTACTGTTCGGGGCATGAGAAAAAAATTTATTTGTTCATTTATTTCTTCAAAAAGTAATTTGGTGTTGAAAGCAATTTGACCATTTCTTCTAACCTGTGTGAAAAACAAAACTAAAATCAAACTGGCATAATCATTATAATTACTCTATTATAAGTTCCTTTTATTTTGAAATTGCTATATTAATCATTATAAGTACTCTATTAATTAATAAGCTTCGAACTCCTAAATAAACTTTAAAAATTGCCTTTACCAAACACATCCTTTCTGATTATTCTGAGTTTTCACCACATCCTGGAGCACAACCTCGAAATTGTTTACTCCAAACTTGTGACACTGCGCAATCCCTTTTCTTCCTGTCATTTTGCAGCACCACCAATTGAAGCATTACCCAACCCCTTTTTTTATTCTTTCTTTACTTTTATCATATATGATTATTTTCGCTCTCTTGATCAAGGGCTAGATAATCTTAACAAACCTTATTGTTATTATTTAAAAATTAAAGGAACTGATACATTTTACAAATTCCGTGCTGCACAAATATTATATAACACACTACGTTCCTAATTTCCATCAATTTTTTTCATGTTGTTTTATTTAAATTTATTATTAAACTATAGAACTATCTAAACACGTTACTTTGCAAAACTTCATACCAAAAATCTTCATACTATATACTAAACTTGTTTTATAATAATCTGTTTATTCTTTTAAGTTTTCTGAAGGAACTTTTACAAATAAATCATTATTTTTCAAAAATAATCTATTCCTAAATAAGCATCAAATAATTTATTTTGCTATCTGTGAGCTGCTGAAATTTTCATTGATATATAAAATTTTCACTTTATTATCAAAATATATATAATAAATTAAATAATTTTATTTTTATTGTAACTTATAAGAAAATATTTATATCAAAGTAAAAAATATACAACAAGTATTATATTAATGTATTTTTAGTTATTAAAAAATTGTATTTCTTATATGTTTTTAAAATTTAAAAGTATATGTATACATTTCAAGTTTTAAAAATTTCGTAAATACTCTTGTAACCATTCTATTATTTATTGATATACTTTTATAAATTTAGCAGTAAAGACAAGCTCTTCGGTTTCACGAGCGGAAACAATCAAGTATCTGTGGAAACATTATGCAGCTACTACTTTTAGTTTCGAAGACCTACGCATTCAGTGATTCTTTCCTTTGTTCTTCTGCCAAATAAGTAGGGTTTGTTTTTAGTTAAAATAAAGCACAAGGCACTGCTAAGTTTATATGTATTTTAAATGGGTTTATTTTATTTCGCATGATTTTAATTTGTGGGGCGTCAAATAAATTCTTTTATTCTTTTTATTCCTTCTGTAGTTGCACTATAAGTTGTTGTTTATGTCATACAAATGTAATATTAATCTTGATTTTTTACACCTATCTTATCCTTCTCTCAATTTTCTTTTCAATCTTATCATATTGATTACATTTTTTCTTTTCCTTTGCATTCATTCTACCCTAGAGGGATTTGTTTATTCAATCGATAAAAGGTACGAAATATCACGGAAAAAAAAACATGTTGAAAATTTTGTAAGAACAAATAATAAATTTATTTTGCATTGTAGAAAATGATTCATGCGCTGTTATAAGATAAGAAATGATAAATGACAATATAAACTTAAAAAGGCATCAACAACAGTAAACCATCTTCAATATGGTGTGTTTCAAACATTCAAGAATGAGTACCAAAAGTGTTGGTGGTAAGACTTTGGCGTCTTCAAGGGTCATTCATATTACCTTGATTAGTGACTTTTGCTCCATTACTTTCCATGCCAAAACCAAACCCCATGCCCATGCCCATGCCCATGCCAAATCCAATTCCCATGCCATTACGATTGTTGTTTAGACCTTTGGTATTATCATTACCACTATAGTCTCTTCCTCCCCATTTATCTACACCTCCTCCTCCCACTCCACCCATGCCCATGCCAGCACCGAAGCCACTACCTTGACCATACCCACCACTACCCCCGCCACCGCCACCACCACCTCCTCCTCCTTCCATGCCACCATTACTTGTACCACCACCAAAACCACTCCCATAACCATGACCTTGTCCTCCATTGCCATCTACTACTACTCCTCCTCCGCCCCCTCCCCCCCCACCACCTCCCCCTCCTTCTCCTCCGTTGCCACCTATACCTGTACCTGCACCAAAGCCACTTCCATAACCTTGATATCCATTCCCACCCCCTCCTCCACCTCCCCCGCCTCCTCCTCCCCCCATCCCAGTTGATCCTATGCCTGCACCAAAACCACTACCCTGACCTTGTCCATTGCCAACTCCTCCGCCTTCACCCCCACCACCACCACCACCTCCTCCTCCTCCTATGCCACCTACTCCTCCACCTCCACCTGCACCAAAACCTCTGCCATAACCTTGCCCTCCATTGCCAGCTCCTCCACCTTCACCGCCACCGCCTCCTCCACCTCCTTCCATGCCAACTGTTCCTATGCCTGCACCAAAACCACTACCATGACCTTGCCCTTCATTATCAACTCCTTCACCTTCACCTTCACCTTCACCTTCACCTTCACCTCCACCCCCACCTCCTCCTCCTCCTCCTCCTCCTCCTGTGCCACCTCCTCCTGCACCCGCACCAAAACCACTACCATGGCCTCGTCCCCCATTACCGACTCCTCCACCTTCACCACCTCCACCTCCACCTCCTCCTCCCCCACCACCATATCCACCAATGTCGCTAACTCCTCCACCTTCACCAAAACCACTTCCATGACCTTGTCCTCCTCTAGAATTACTTCCCCCTCCACCCGCACCACCTCCTCCTCCATTACCTCCGGCTACACCAAAGCCACTACTAAATCCACTACCTTGACCTATCCCTCCATAACCTAAACTATTACTCGAACCACCACCACCACCTCCTCCTCCTTCATTGCCCACCCCAACACCAAAACCACCACCATGACCATATCCTGCACCATTTTCACCAATACTTCCGCCCTCTCCTCCTCCCCCTCCCCTTCCACTACCACCATCACCCCCTTGTCCAGAACCCTTAGCAACTCCCCCACTAGGAGTAGGAACTGCTACATTCTCTTCTTCATTCTTAGAATTGCTACTACGTTTTCCAAATAAACTCCCGCAACCCCTCCAACTTCTATAGGTGCAATAGTCATCTCCGTTATCGTTATCAAACCTCCACTGACTAGGATCACCAAAGCTACTACCATCAACATACCTCCCATGACCAATATCACTCATTAAAGCACAGACCACGCTCCATAGAAGCAGAGCAAGGTGCAAAAACTTGGCAATATTAGCACCCATTGCATTTACGTGTATGCAAGCAGAACTAACTTAACTTTTACTTGCTTTACATTCTTGGTTATGATAGTCTCTTAATATAGGAATCACATCTACTAAAATAACTCTATGCTCATTACTAAATTCAAATGGAAAGTGTTATGGCCAAGAAATTGCACATTCAAGTCAAGAAAGGTCCAATCAATTTCTTGCTTTGGTCAACCATAGCCCCCCGAAAATATTACACAACTTTAGGCCAGTCATAAATTATTGTCTAACTCTAATAATATATCCAAAACCATAGGTTTACATGATTGCTTGTGATATTGCGTTTTAATATATTCAACGAATCTCCAGTTAGACAGCATTACAATATAATTAGTAAATATATGTAGTGGAGTAGGTGACAGTATTCTCCTAATATCAAAAGGCTAGAAAGATATTTAAGTATGATTATATATGTCATCCATGACTTATCATTTCGATTCAAGAGTCGCTTCTAAATCTAATATGTGCTCCTATATCTCTAATTAATTGACAAATTAATGGATGCCCATTAGTTGCTCCGAACGCATATGCAAAATGAATGCAAGAACAGCAGTGTGGGTGCCATGTGACTAATTAAAGTATTGAGTTTTGGTTACTGAGAGATTTGTTCCTTCTGATCCCGAGCATGTTTGGTTTGGTAGTGGCTTAGACACTTGAAGTGTACGCCTACCAAAGTACAAGCAAATCCCTCAATTGCAGCACTCGTAAAACTCATCATTAAATATAAAAGTTGAAGACAGCTTGGCGTGGTGTTTTAATGGATACGTGGACCAATCTAACTGCAAACACTAAATCTTTTGGCTTTTAAATCACACCGACCGTACAAAGTCACCATGCAATCTCCCTTAAACGAAGCATATATGATTCGATTTTACAAACAATTGCTCCAAAGATACATAAGAAATCATCAATAAAATTAATTATTAAAAATATAATACTTAATGCTATTAACGTATCAAATATTATAAATTTTAAAATTGTTTATTCATTAATCATTTAATTAGTACCTTTAATGTTTAACAAAATCATATATATATATATATATATATATATATATAAAATATTTTCAATAGTTTCGACTCATTCTTATCTATATATGTTAATTTTCTTAAATTTGTGGGTTACTGTATTTGCCCTTCTCTGTAGTTTCTATGGTTGACTACATTAAATACAAGATATATGGAGTATGGATGTAAAAAGTCAATTATTTTTTCTAATGAAAAAGAGCCAATCATTGCCAAGTGAAAGAATGAAAGGGACGTTGGGTGCTTCCTTTTGAGTAGAAAATAAAAGGCTTTGTATATAGAGTTGAGTGCTTGTGCGTCTCGGAATAATTGCTTGTTAGAGCACACACTTCTTTTTTAAGATCTGCAGGTGTTTCTAATACGTGCCACGTTAAAGCTAAGAAAGCTAGAAGAAGAACAATATTCGATTAAGGGCACGTTTCTTCAATGTCCAACGTGATTCATCAAATTATGAACAAAGCGCGCTACCTTTTATCATGCAGGTATTTAAAAGTTTTGGGAAGTCTAAAATCTTCCGATGATCTTACTTAATATGGCAAGAAATCATTATTCTTTGTAACTCTTGTCATTTTCTGACGACAAGTAAATCTTAATCAAATTTATAAGATATTCAGTATTTGGTGAAGCTCAACTACTCCCATTGCCACTTCTGATCAATTCTATACAATTTTTACATGAATAGGCATTAATAATGATGTCAAAGTGAACCACAGTCTCTGCTAGAGCATAATTGCTTATCCTTCAAATATATTTTCACACCGATTCGCGGTTAATATTTTATTGCTATTATAGATTTATAAATATTTTCATTCCACGTGCCCATTTTATTGTACCCCCTCCCTTCTTTCCTCCATCATTTTATGTGACTCAACTATTTTTTTTGAAATATGTATTAGCCTTTTTTTGTAAAGAGAATATTTTCCCATTCACATAGATTTCCCGTTGTCTATCCATTCCCAGAAGCAACATGAAATTATGTCTGACACTGTCTATCATAAATATCTTACAACCCAATTTAATCATTTGATAGCAATTATGTTTTAAATATTCTCTCTAAGAGAGGTTTTCACTGAACAATTTTTTAATTAAAGGAAAATTAAAATTCGTGCCAATGCAAAAGGAGAAATAGATTACTGAAAAAAGAATAGTTAGAATTCATTTTAAAAATATAACCAACAACCCAGTCAAGACTATTTGCAACCTTTAGGTAAGCTTTTAGAAAAAAATTGTAAAATAAAAAAATCAGAATAAAAATAAATAAAATTTCTTTAGCAAGTTAGAAACAATTTATGTTGCTTTATTTTTTTAAAAGTTTTTTCATTTAACTTTTGTAAAATTTGAAAAGATAAGTTATTTTTAATTTATAAGAGAAGTTTTATTTAATTTTTATATTTTAAAATAATTTTTAAAAAATGTTTACCTAAACTGAGTCTTGTTCTTTGAAACAAATTACTAAAAAATTCTATAAGAATTTGGAAATCTGTCAAAAACTAGTTTTCCTTGTGTCAAATTGCCATAATTTATACTTATTAGTTCATTTGATAAATAGATTATATTCAAATTGACGATAGGCCAGCCCACTTTAATTAAACAACAGCACAACCTTGCTTGGCACCATATAAACTGCTCAATTCAATCAAATTTCATGGAGTCATAATTCAACTCATCTCATATTCATGAAACAGCTGCTCTCTCACTGTTTCGATTATACCTCTGCCGAGTAAATGAATAACAAACAGGTAGTGCATGTAAATTTTATGTGCCTCGAGAGTGAAAGATATTTAAGTGAATAATTAGTAGGGGTGTGTGAGTTTTTTTCTCTCTATCTACAGAGAAAGACCCATAAAGACCAAATTTATTTTTAAACATAGCTCTATTCCTTAAATCCCGTAATATAAACCACACTACATGTCAAATAACTATAATTAAGGTTCTCGCATTACAAAAATCTTGAAATTATATAAAGAGCTGTTGAAAGAGTTTATAGATAGTTTGTAGAAATGGTTTATGATTTTTATAATTTTGTAATTCATTTCAATAAGTTTTTTATATAATTTATTAAATTTATTTTAATAAATTAAAAAAATTATTCTAATAAATGTTATGATTAAATTTTTTACGTAAGTTGCATAATTTGCAACATCTTGTAGCTAGTAGCTAGTGCATAATCACTTAAGTTGGGAAATAATTATAAAAGTTTAAACTAAACGATATTATAGCATTATTGTACACTTTAACTTGAAATTTATTTTAATTTTTTTATCATTTTATTTTAAAGAAAGTCAAATATTATTTATTGAGAGGTGGAGAGACAATAATGTGTTAGAAAAACATTTAAACTAGTTAAAAGCTCGTTTTGTTGGCTTAAAAAGCTTGTTTAATAACAAAAGTTGTTTGACAAAGTAACTAAAGTGGTATTTAGCATTTAAAAAAATACTTTTTAACTGAAAGTAAATTTTTATTTTTATTATTCTTTAATAATTTTTGTCTTTCATCTTTATTTTTTAAAATCTTATTATTACATTTACTTCTTTTAATTCAACTTTTTAAAAATTATTGTCGTCATTAAATATTATTTTTAATAATATAAAATTATAAAAAAATATATCTAAATTAGTTTATATTATCTTATTTTATTTAATAAAAATATGTTTGAACGAGAGAAAATTAAAAATTTATAATTTATTTAGAAATATAATTACCAAATTTTAAATTTTATAATATATAGTTAATTTTATCAAATATTTTTAATTTAATTCACTAGTTTTTATTTTTCTCTTTTAACATTCATCTTTCATCTGATTTTTTTAGCTATTCACTAATTCTACCAAATAAGCCAAATATATATATAAAAGAAGATTGGGATTTTAGATATTTCTTGTGTTAAAAATTTTGGAATTAACCAGAAAAGAAAACGTAATTTTCCTGGCAGAATTAATTATCAGATAATTCAATCCTAAAATCGGTCTCTGTTATTCATTCAGTAAGGTAACTACAAGCTTATTCCTCAATTGATGTTACTAAAAGCCATACGAATGCCATTAACTAAGGTGGATTTGAAATCATCGCATGAGAGCAGCATGCTGCGTGCAAGTTGATCTGTCACAAAAAAAGAAGTGTAATGGTAAACTTGAAGTCAAGGTCGTAGCTGATTCATAAATTCTCCGCCAACGCCTCCGCCTCCTCCATATCCGTCGCCTATCCCCCCACCACCACCACCAATATAGCCGCCGCCTCCTCCTCCTCCATTTCCACCACCACTATAGTCACTGCCACCCCCACTACCGCCTCCATTTCCACCCCCGCCTATCCCACCACCCCCTCCACCACCAAATCCACCATTTCCCCCACCGCCTATCCCACCACCTCCTCCACCACTAAATCCTCCATTTCCACCACCATAACCGCCTCCAAATCCTCCATATCCACCTCCAAGTCCAACTCCTCCCCCAATTCCTGCTCCGCCACCATACCCTCCACCTACGCCATAGGCATGTAAATGGTTAAGAACTGTCTTCTCTTCACCAAATCCTCCAAGCTTTCTTGCATTAGAAGCCTGGCAGCTGGTAATTGCAGGAAGAAAAGCAAACAAAAGCAACTTGGTAAACATTATCACTAATATATATAAAGACAATTAATGCTGTATGATACAAGAAGTGAAGGTGCGGAGAGACACAATATATAGATTTTCCACTCCTCACATATACACCAAAAATGTGGAGTTGGGTGTTTAAACATTGCCGTTGCCCCACGTATTCCGTGCTCCAATAGCTACTTCTGCCTTTAATTACTAGTTTTGGGAGTTTAGTACTAGAGTGGGGTGTGCTCGATCGCAATATGATCCATAATATATGTGCTATGTAGTGTAAATATATGAATCACTTAATCTTCCAACAACCATAATTTCTACAAGCACGAAGAAATAGTTCCTAGTCTCGATCTAATATAACATCAAAATAAGGTTTTGTATAAATTTTATTATGAAATAAATAACTTTATTGTAGATAAATAATAAAGATATTATATTAAAATTTGTATCAATTTTCTATCTTAATTTTTTAAAACACTTTTAACTTTATTTGTATCAATATAATAATCATTATTCGGTTAGCAAGGATTGTATTCTTACCTCACAAAGATGTGAGTTTTAGATAATATGTTATTTGACCCTTGAAACATGCCTCGACTCCAGTAAGTCTCGAAGACCCAATTCACCTAAACTTTTAATGTAAAAAAAAAAAAGAATTATTTTTTATATGGGATAACTAAGTAAACTTAAACTAATCCTCAAAATATAGATAAAATATACAATATGTTAAAATATTATTTTTTTAATGATAAATTTTAATCAGTAACGTAAGTCGTCATTAGTAAGGACACAAAAGTAAACGCTTCTTGTAAAAAAAAAAGTATTTATTTTAACCCATATAATTTTAAATAATTAAAAACATCAATTAAATATATATAATTAATATTCCTTAACTAGTGACACTTACTAGGAATACCTTCTATTTTGGGGCCAAAACAAATTAACACTTGCAAAATAAATGCCGAAAGGAGTGAATGCCAAGTACACCAGCGAACAAAATGATACAAGTAGGATAAATGAGACAGACACGCTCCACAACCAAAATTAGAAATCAAACAATTAATACAGCTACAATTATGAAATCAAGTAGGAACTAATCAAGTTACAGAGAACTTAGTTCGGATACAGGGTATATAATAATATATTATTAATTATATACTAATTAATATTATGTTCTTAATTGGTGCACTTTGGAGTACATGTGATAATGGGCACAAAAAGTCTGAACTGAACTAGCGTTAGAGTTACATTTTCTTCAAAGGTCACGCACAAAAATGTAGGATCGAGCGCAAAGGCTTATTATTATGTGCATGATTCTAAGAGAGCGTGAGCTCCACAGAGACATCATTCGCATCTGGACTATTGTGGTTCCGATTCATGAATGGATGTGAAGCCCTTGATGAGCTCATTGACAGGGACAGCATGTCTTCACCCCCTCTCTCTCCTAATGCAGTTATGTCTTGGAATCTTTCGCGGTCGCTTTTGTAACCGGCAACCCCTAGTGATACCTTTTCAGGAGGATTTTTATTCTCCTGATAAAACAAATTGGAATTAACTGTTCAACTATGTAATGTGTATAGATATCTTATAAATTCTCTATTATGCACCACAAAATGAAAAGAAATTCTACTCCTACACATGTTTAATTTTTACCACTTTCCTTTGGCTTTCTAATTGTGGTAAATAAATAACATCTTTTTTAAATAGATAGAAAAAGTCAAAGTATTATATTGAAAATTATATATATATATATATGGAAAAAGCAATACAAAAGTTATGAGTCAGAATTGTAGAACTCCAAAATAAACGAGGCATTGAGAGGAAGGAGTTACATGGACACTCTGGCTTCTGAAAAGATCCCCGAAGATGATGTAGGAGTGCATCTTCTGTTCATCGCCGTTACAAATTATAATCGATGCACTCCTTCGATTTCCATTGTCTTGCTCACGATGATTCCTGACATAAGAGCACAAAACTGAGTTTAAAAAATATTATACGCACCGTCAAAAAGATAGAAACGATAAAAACAAAATAAAAATTGAAATACCATTTAGCTTGGGTGGGAGCAAGCTCTTGCGTATAATGAGTTTCGCTTCTCCTTTGGTGACTCTGTTGGGGGCTTGGGCCAAATGTTGAGGAGAATGTGGAAGCTAGGAAATCAGGTGCCACATCATTCTTCTTTACTGCTGGTAAATACAAGTTAATTAATACAATTTAATTGGTCATATTAGGTAAAGCCTCATATTAAGGAAACGTCATTAATGAGGTCAAGAAAACGTTACTCCATGCTTATTACAAGGTATATTATATAATTGTTTAATTTTTTTATGAGGAAACATGAGTAGTACTACTACTCAAACACTAAAAGTTATTTTTCTAGGAACAAAATCTCGAAGAATATTTGATATTTGGTTCATTTTCTTGGTCACGGAAAAGGGAATCAACCTGTTAAGCTGACGTCCACTATCCCTGGTTGGTTCCTTTATTTTCTTCGTCTATAAGGATATCTTCTTTTCAGTGTTTACTGATCTAATTTCCTCTATTGTACCAAACAAAATGTCTAATGTCGTCTACAGCTACCTATTTCTTCATTATAGAAGATGCATACATCCGTGGCACGAGAACATGCACATAAGTAACTGATGTACACTACAATTATATACCTTGACTCATGTGCTCGTGCTTCATGCTCCTGTACATCTGTCAATAGGAATTTTTAAAGCATTAAATTAATAATAAATCATGGAATTTTTTATTATTAATAAAAATATTTTTTTTCTTTACAAAAAGAAAGAAGAAGACCAGAGGTGAACTAATAAGGCTTTTCATTCCCGGTCACTTTATTTGTGGTTATGGAGAAAGGAAATTTTTTGTTATAATAGATGGAGGAAGGAGGGACATTTAAAGAAAAAAAAAGTGTGAGGGAAAGTAAGAGAAGTGATTGATGATGGGATAGAAAAGAAAGAAAAATAATAAAAAAGTAGAGAGTGAAAAATGAATACAAAAAGAGAGAAATTGTGAAAGAGATAATAATTCAGAGAAAAGAGTACCTGAAGGTGGCTTTTGACATGAGCTATAGTAAGCCCCTTTACATTCATGAGCTGTAAAACCAACTTTGGAGTGGCCCCTAAAAGTCCAAATCGATATGTAAACAGCATTAAAAAAAAAAGTTCACGAATCAATTAACATAGCAATTAAAAATTAAGGCTTTTGTTAATGAAGACTTAAGAGATGATAAAAAAAAAGCCTGAAACTAGGAAAGAATTAAAAGTGAATGAAATAGGATCTAAATAACGTTAACACATATAAATGTTAAAAAGCTTACGGTCTTCTCCACCAAGTCTTTGAACTGCATGCACGAAGCAACGGTGGAGATCTGGTGTCCAACGAAGCCTAGGCATTTTTGACCGGACATAAGGCCTAACCATAGGGGTTTTCAGGCTTATCTCTGGAAGCTGATGAGATCTGAAACGACGACGACCCGCTCTTAACTCGGAAGGGTGTGAGGAGTTATTATCAACAACACTGCTAATGAGAGAAGAAGAAGAAGAAGAAGACATGGTTGGAGTTGGTGAGACTTTGAGAGAGTTCTCACTGTCAGTTTCAGGCTTCATTGAATTGTGTTGTGTTTTGTTTTTTTGTTGAGGCGAGTTAATTAAGGTAGAAGAAGGGGAAGGAGAAGGTGGTGGTCTATGAAGAAACAAAAGAGAATAAATACCAAGCAAGACTGTGTAGCAGAAAGGGTTGTCCTTTAGTGCAGCTTTTGTTACCCCTCTTCGAAGGGTCAGTTTAAGTCCTAGAGAGTTTCGATGGATAAAAGGAAAACTTGAGACACGGAAACTCAGAAACCAAAATTTGTTCAAAAATGCCTTCATGATTGGGTGAAAATGAAAGGTTAAAAAGTGAAAGGGCCGTTGCATCAGAGGTCTTCGTGATATCATTTTCTTTAGACATTCCTTGGGTCTTTTCCAGACATTCTTTGTCTCTTAAGGAAAAGAATCAGCTCTATATACTTCTTTATTATTATTATAAATACAATTCAACAACTGCGTACCAATATAAATAGTATTAACAGTGGTGAAAGCAAGTTATACCCAAGTACTCTGTACTTGATTATTGCTGGAAAAATATAAAGAACCATAAATAGATTGCTAGCTTCCCCTTTTAATTTTTTGTTCAATCTCTTGGAGGGTATTTATTTTTCAATTAATTATAAGGTAATCAAATTAAACCTCGCCTACTTTTTAATTTATTTTTCTCTTCGATTTATGAACTAATTAATTATCGATTAACCGAGACGGTAATAATTAAATGCCAACAAAAAACTGATGTCAACTGAGAAAAAAAAACCAAGTCAAATTTAACTGCAACCAGCAAGAGGTAACAGTCATTTACCATTATACTTTCCAATCAAAAGAAACAAAATTTTATAAAGAATTGAAAAGTCAAGACAAGTTTTTCAAAGCTACGTTACAACAATTGTAAAACCTTGAAAGGAAAAGTATAAATGGGAAATTGCTGGCATATAGAGAAGAGTTAAGACATGGTCAAATACTGTACAAAGATGCATGACATAAGCAATATTGAATGTAGCAAAGAAACCAACAACGGCCCCGGCCATCCCTCTTTATTATGAAGCAAAGCCAATGCATTTTTAAGGCAAATAAAGTTTATTCATTCGGGACATTACCGAAAGCTCCTGATTTTGAGGCCAAAATGTACATTCACGGCATGCTTCTCCAAGATTAAGCCAATTAGATGAGGACAGATGTTGCCACGTAGACATGCTTCGCATGTCGGGGATTCCTCCCATGCTTACACCTCGTTAAGGAGTTACCATTGGTGAGCATGTAAATATGCATGGAGATTGGTGGCATGCATGGAAGTTTCCGCAGATAATGCCAATTTTGTTGAACTGAAACCAAGTGCCAGTGTCTAGACGTGATGTCCCCTCTCCACTCACACGCACACACACACACACGAGGTTGTGTAAACGCTAACGCATGCAGCTTAGGCGGTTTTAGAGTGTGAAATTCTGGCTTGGAAGGATTTGGAGACGCACAGGACAATGAGTGGCATGGAGAAGATGAAGAACAGATTACAAATTGTCTCCACTTAGGGAGGGAACTCTCTTCACTTGTACGGTATTGTTCGAAAATAGAGTCCCATTGTTCTTTATTTTTACTTTTTCTAAATCCCCCATGGCAGTTAAAATACAATAACAACAATTAAAATTTATTTTACTAAGACATCATAGTACTCAGTCATAATATTTAAAATAAGAGAAGTAAACTAGGGAGATAATAAAAGCTTTATAAATTCAACTACTTTAGACATTTTAGCCAAAGTTATAATTTCAAACCTAATCTCTTAAATAATAGATCAACCACTCTTCTTATGTTAAGGGACTTGGATAGAATTCATTCATAAAATTAACATAGTATCAAAGTTCAGAGAGTCTCATGACTCGTGATAGTTGAAAACAGAGAAGTAAAAAAAATATAAGGTATATAAGCTTAATATACTGTTTGTTAATAAGAAAAAAAACCATATATTAAGATAATATTTATTAATACATTCTATGCCAAATAAAAAATAACTCGTTACAAAAATTTTAAAGATTTATATTATTAATAATTTTGTCTACAAAATTATTTGTGAGCATAATATATTTATTTGTTTATATACCTTATAATGTTTACATAAACAATTTAATTTTTATTGAAAAAATCATATATATGCTATGACTAATTTAATATTAAATTATTAACAAATGGCAGTTTTTGAAGGGATATATACAAAAGTAATAAAATAATAAAAAATAATAATTATATATAGTATGACATATAAAATATTAACTTTTAAAAATATAAATAACGTAGCTGTTTTCCAAGTCTGAAGTCATTTAAGCTTCTTTGGACTCTAGATAAGTATCATTTAATAAAATGACGTTTCTAAGTTTTTTTAATAAATATTAAATTTTATTCATTTAAATATGTTATATTGTCCACGACGATTATTTTTTTTATACATAATATTACAGAAAAATAATTTAAATAATGTAATAAAATATTATTTAATTTACTTCATAAAATTTTTAATGCAACAATTAAATTCATAAAATTTAACGTCTTTAAAAAATTATTAAAATAGTTGTTTCATCAAATTAGATATTTAATATCAATTAAAGTGTATGTGAGTAATAATTTTCATCTCTATCATAAATTTATAGAAAAATAAAACTAAATAAATAATGAGTCACTAATATTAAAAATAAAAATAGGTTAGACACGCTTAGCCTATCTTATTTAAATAATAGACTTAATTTAAGTTTTTTAAAAAATTTAATTAATTAAATAGGTAAATTTAAACTTAAAAAAATTATTAAAATAACCTATTTAAAACTTATAATAATATATTAAATAATTTTATATAAAAAATTTAATATAATAATATATTAAATAAATTAATTTTAAAATAAATAAAATATTTAATTAAAAATATTAATCATTTTCATTGAGTTAAAAAATATCTTTTGTATATATTCTCTAATTTATAATAATATATTAAATAAATTAAATTTTAAAATAAATAAAATATTAAATTAAAAATCTTAATCCTTCTTAGAGTTAAAAAGTGTCTCTCCGTCTAATAGAGAATCTTGTTTGTTAAAATTTTTTAATATATCTTACACTTATAACATTAGTTTATATTTACGCTGTATTGATTACATCTACTGTCTGTTCATCTCATCTTTCTTTATTTTTTTACACATTTATTTATATTATATTATAGATAACTTTTTTTTATTATAGAATAGATCATAAAAAATTAATAAGTTAAGTTAGACTTTTAAAAAAATTAAACTATGTTTAATAAAAAGCATCTAACAAAGTTAGACCTAAACTCCAAAATTATTAGATCCATCATACAATTTATGTAAAGTATAGGCTTTCATTGTCTCAACAAGTGCCTGTTGAATCATAAACGACTTTTGGTTTGATCAACATCCTTATGCACATCCAAAAGAATTGTCATTTATGGACTTATTAACAACTGACGTGTTTCTTACTTTTGCATACTATTTGGCATAAAAGTACCTTGACAAACAATCACAGTTTTATTGAATAACTAAAGCTGAACGAGAGTGATCGATGGTGAATTGTGACTCTCTTCATATAGTAACGACAAAGTTATCCGTGGGGGTAGAAGATTTTTGCTCATCTTAGGAACCAAAGATGCAAACAAGTTCAGCTTCCCCATCAATAGCATATTGACCGTAATCGCAATTCCCAAGTACAAAATGTTTCACCTTAATTTGTTCTGGGTTAATTTAACAATCCTATATTTTCACCCTCCAATCTTTACACATATCTTTTATTCCATTAATAAATATACATTCTTATCCCTTAAAATAGCAACGTGTATATATTGAATCAATTCTTGAAAGTTTGCGTATATGTATGGGCTTTTATTATACAGAGTGTACATTGATAATTGATGACTCTTTATTTTAGTGACAGATTTATTTAAAAGTATATATTTTGATATACGATTATTATTAAATTAATATAAAAATAAAAATATGTTTTATAAATATTTAAAATTTCATTAATTTTATAAATTTAAACTAAACAAATATTTTAATTATTAATAATAAATATTTTATTATGTTAAATAATCTTAAATTAAATAAATAGATTTTTTAAAAATTATATATAAAAAATTTAAATTTAAATTTAAATTAAGATTAATTTTAAAATTGAAAAGTAAATCTTACAAATTATATATAAAGATAGATAACCCTCCTTTTTATATATTCTTTAATTTATTTCTAACCTGGACCTATTTTTAATGCAATTTATTCTTCAAATTTATAAACTTCATGAAAAATTAGTCTTTCTTTATCAACTTTAAACACGTCAACTTTGTGAAAATTTAGTCTCCAAATTCGGTGATCAACTTCGTGAAACTAAGAAGCACTAATTTGTGATGAAGTAAATAGACAGATATGAGACTAAATTATATTTACAAACTTTCAAGAACCAAATTAACAGAAGTTGTTACTTTCAAAAATGAAATTGCATATTCTTTAGATCGTTTGAATTTAACTTAATCATTTGAATAACTGAAAATTAACACCATATCCCAGTATGTGCAAAACATTTGAATTTAATGGGTCTCTTCTCATAGTTCATACGCAGGCTGAGGCTGAATCTTTGACTCAAAAAGAAAAAAAGAAAGCAGAGGCTTCGCATCAAATAAAAAATGAGACGAACTCATTAACGAGTCCAAGTTCAAGGTAAACTATGTACAGTAAAATTCAGGCGTGTATGGCGTAGAGGTAGTAACATTGGCAATCTCAAATGAGAAAAGCATGTAAACAGATCCTCTCAAAATCTTAAATTAGAAAAGCCTAGCGTGTTGTGGCAAGCTCTTGCCCTGCCACAAAGAATTGCATTCTTTGGGATTGAATATTCATCCCTCAATGAGTTGGACGATGTATACAGCCTCAGACATAATTGCTGCCCCAATAATTGCCTTCCCCAATTCTCAGACCTTATGTTCCACATCCCCACATTGTCTAGCGCCATGTACATTGCAGTCCATGCCCTAGGGTACACCTATGTTCAATTCCAACAAAAATCAAATTAAACCTTTACAATAAGCTTATGGAATTACATCACATGTACTCTGACCAATAATTGGACACGTGTTCTTTTTACCTGAGTGGTGCATCTAGGAATAGCGTCTTTTAGATTGTAGTTTGCTCTACTTGCAGGTGTCCAGTGCCCACTACCAAACCTATTATAATAATAATAATGTCACAAGATGATATTGAAATCTTAGGTACCTGAATTGAAGTGCAAATAAATATGTAAACGTGTGATATATAATAAAAAAAAATTGTAAATAATAATTTTTTGTATTAAAAATCATAGCATTTAAAGTTATTGATATATTAAAAATATTTAATACAAATTTATTATACATTAATTCTTATCCAGTGTAATTCAATTTATGTTAAAAATGTTATGAATCTACGAGCTTACCCTACAACAAAGAAAGAATAGCCATCAACATGCCATGACTGCACGGAGTTCTCCAAATTTTGGAACACAATCTCCACAAACTCACGAAAGTTAGCCCCCATGACAGAAGTTTGGAGGTGGGGTTTGGCCTTGGTAGGGGTGGTAGGAATGCTTCCAACAGAGAAAACACCAGAGATGTTGAAGTAGTCAGCTAGCTTCAACGGGGTTTCTGGTGCAACATATGAGACACTGTTGACTGCATACCTCTTCTTCCCCTTTATAAAAGGGGAAGAGTTTGCCAAAATGATGCTTCTAGTGGGTTTTATTAATCCATAGTGGTATGATCCCTGAGGGTTTGGTCTAGGTCCACTTGCTGTCAGGTTCCACCTAGTATCAGGAACATTGAAACCAAACATCATCACAAGTTTTTAATTTACTAAAGTGAATTCTATAAACCGTTTCTTCTAGAATTAACACACTCATCAAAATGGAAGAAATTGAATATTGCTTTAATTCTTAAAAGGTAAGGTTTTATGATTAATATATATTGCAAACACAATAAGCAGTAGGTGTTAATTAGTGTTAGTGTTAAGTTACTTCAACTTCTAATGCACATGAAAATTTCATTAGTTATAATAGAGAATAAGTTGGCAAAATATACCGGATAGTTCTGGCCTGAAAAAGAGAGGAAGCAATGTCATGGGTAGGCCCCGGGGGAATGGGACCAGATACCCTTTTGAACGAATTGTTATAGTGAAGAGTAGCTGTTGTTGTGAGTATCCGTTTGGTAAATCTTGTAGAGACAACTATGTAGTAATCCTTTGGAGGCTGATCAGCTGTGACAAGCACAGAGTAGGATTGCCCAAGATGGATATCAAGGGAAGAATAGATGTTCTGAATGGTGTGAGATCCTTCTACCTCTACAAGTTTCATTTTGTGGCCCTGGATTCTGAAGTTGATGGATGTTGTGAGCCCCACATTGGATATCCTGAACCTGTAAGTTTTACCTGCATATGACACATTGAAAAAATAATAACATCGATGATGCAACAGTTTTTAGACATGAATGTTAAGGTTATTTGGTATTTTACCTTGATCAACGGTAAAAGTGGTTCGATTCCAACCACGTCCATTGATGATAAGTCCATGAGGGAAGGGAAGATTATGACCATTCTCAAGGATTCTATTCAGTGTCTATAACAAAAGAGAGAAACAAAGGGTAAGTATTTGCTAAGGGGAACATGAGAAGATAGTGGTAAAGGAAAACATTGAAACAAATGCAAATGGTTCTTACACGATGGTTTGTTTTGAACCAATCTCCAGCAAGTATTGAGAAGTCCCCTGCAGGAGGAGGAAAAGGAACAGGAATCTGAGGACGAGTCCGAATTCTGATTCTACCAAATCCTCCAGCGGCTTTTTGCATTCCAGGAGATGGGAAATAGAAAAAGCTACCAATTTGGTCTTTCACTTGGAGAACGTAAGTGAAATTCTTCCCAGGTGGGATTGGACAATTTGTGCCATAGACTCCATCTTGCCATGAATTCTTCCTTTGCTGTAAGCCGTTCCTGCACACCATATGTTAATATAGACCATCATCATTCAATTAACAGAACATTATGAGACATTGATGATCAAAACATGACTATAGGAGTGGAAATAAGATACAAGAAATGTACCATGATATGAGAAATGGCTCTTTAAGGTAGTTATGCACACTGATGATCAAGTTGTCATTTGTAACCGCGTCTATTTTAGGTCCTGGGAATTGCCCATTAATCAAAATACCCTGCAAATTGAGATCAAGAAACACGTTGCACCCATAAAAGAAAAAGATAATGTATTTGTTTCAGGAATCAAGAATGGAAGTCTCTAAGAAAGAATAAAGTATTAAGGAAAAGAACCTGTTGCTTAACACCAAGAGGGTGAATGTCACCATAGGTGACCCTCCAATTAAAGAACCTATATGGGTCTTCACAGTTTATGCCAGTACAATGGAATGTGATTGCAAAAACAAGAATGAGAGAAGAAAGAGATTCGCTTGGTCTCATTGTCAATACACTTTCTTCTCAGTCTCAAAACCAGTAGAACTTGTAAAAAGACCTAGATTGTTTTTTATTTTTTATTTTTATTTTTAGTGAAGCTTTCGACCTGGTGTAAAATTAAGATTTAGCGCCAATTAACAAAGAACCTGAAGATACATTTGGAGGTTAAATTTTAGAAAAATGGGAAGGAAAGAAATTTTTTGTGTGTTAATAAGTTAATCTTTTATTTATTTTTATAAATATTATATTACTCTCTTAATTTCAATATAATATTTTGCCTCCTCTCTCTCCTTCCAGATTTCAATTTTCAAGAGACTCAAATACATATACTTGTTTAGTTGTTTGCTGAATACATATAGAACGGCAAGAGACTCAAATTGCGTTCATTAGATTCAATTGGAATTAAAATGCTCTTAAACTTTAAATTTATCTAAAGTGCTTGACTTGTAATTTTAAAAGTAAAAAATAATTAATGAAAAGCAATCATAACAAAATTAAGAATTTGAATTTAACGAGAATAAATAAATAATTTATTTGAGTTAAAATAATTGTAATAAAATTTATCTTATTTTTCTTTTATTTTTTTTTATTTTTTTTGCTAAAAAGAATTAATTAATTTAAAATTAACCATAACAAATAATATCATAAAGCAATGATGGATAAAGTGAATTAGTGTATAATACGACAGATATCAATTCTTTTCCATTGCAATAAAGATTAGACCATCAATTATATTTTTCCTTAAAATCATCTAAAAAAATTACAAAAAAAATTAAGTTCCATTCAAGTGAACAAAACTCTCATTGCCCCTTCTTCTTAATCTCCTCTACCCACACCTCCTATTGACACCTGCACCTAATACTTAGCTCCTTGTGCTCTTCTTACTGGATCTGGATTCTCTCTCATAACTAGACGTCCAGTTATATTGATTTTGTATTTTTTTTTTAAGTGAAAATGTAAAATTTTGCTTCACTGGACCATTCTATTCGCGTCAAAACGAAAGAGAATCTTAATCCCTCCTTACTCTAACTCTCTCACCTCCTCCTATAATCCCCAATCCTCTTTTTTTCTCTCTCTATAGCTAACCTAACTTCCCTTCTTGCTACTCTTAGCTCCACTTAAGTGATATTTATCTAGTAAGTTGTAACACCCTGAATTTTATAGTATTTGTAATATTTGAAAGCAAATAAACAAATATAGAGTTCAGAAAACATAACAGAACAAAAGCTACAAATTTGTGTATTAAAACAGATGTATGATGTAACACCCTGAATTTTGTAGTAATATTTAATGATATATATATATATATATATATATATATATATATGTGTGTGTGTGTATGATGGATTGGATGATTAGGGTTGGACTGATTTTTTTTTTACTAAGTATTCTGGTGTAAGGTGTTCTCGCTGCAGCGAGAAATGCTTCGCTGTAGCAAGAAGGCCCTAGGAGGAAGACGTGAAACTGTCGCCTTGTCGTTGTAGTGAGAGTGTCTCACTGTAGCGACAAAGCTACAATTTGGGCTGCATTTCTAGATGCAATCTCGCTGTAGCGAGATTCTGTAGAAACCAGAGTGTAGTTTTGTCTAAGTTTTTCGTTGTAGCGTAAGGGTGTCGCTGTAGTGAGGTCTCCTTGCTGCAGCGAGAGTGTCGCGACCAGAAAGGATTTAAAGGGGGGTTAGGGTTCAAGAAGGGTTATTTCTCACCTTCCCTTCAAAATTTCTTCAATTTTCTTGACTCAAAACCCTATCTCACTGATTAAATTGCTTCCAAAGCCGTTCGAGAGCTTGATTGAAGGTTGGATTCATGTTGGAAAAGCTTGAAGGTGAGTTTTAATGGTTAATATTTTCGTTTTTCACCCCCTTTCTTTGTTTCTTGGTTTCCTTAAATTCTCATGGAGTTTTTCCATATATTTTAGGCTGAAATCCGTGTGAGAAGCATTTCTGTGGTCGAGTTCGAGTGTGGGTCTTCAATCCAAGGTAAAGGAGGACTTTACCCTATCTCTTTGGGTTTGATTGTCGTGTATTTTGATGAATATTGCAATGTAGATAAGATAGAGGGTAGGAAATATGTATTTGATGGAAATTGATGTGTATTGTGAAGTGTGATAGCATGTGGAAACCCGTGATGGGTGAATATTGTGTGTGTGGTTGAAATGAATTATGTTACAAATGCATGTGGGCACTTGTGCCATGTATTGAGAATGATTATTGCAAACAAATGTAGGCCTAAAAGCCGTGTAAAATAAATGATTGTGGGATTTGTGCTGTGTATTATGACTAAATGCTGAAATGTGTGTGGATGGGGCATGTTAACACCGTTATATTGTGCTGTTAATGATTCAGCGATATACTGGAGTATTGAAGATGGAGATGGTAGAAATACCTTGAGGAAGAGAGAGTGGTGGTGACACCGACTGTGGGACCGGGTGCACCACGGGTCACACATTCTCCTCCTGTCTAGACCTCTGACTACTACCTTTGCTGAGCGACTCGTGAATGCCCACGTGGTATACATGAAGCGAGGGTAACCAACAACCATTTACGGTGAAAATCTATGATCACAGTGTCACTATGAGCGTGCGTGTATACATGTTTTGGTGCCATGAGTGCATCGGTTATGAATTGAAATGATATGTATGGTAATGTTGTATTGTGTGAAGTGTATTAGAAATAATGTGAATTATGTGCAAGGTGAGACATTATGCTTGCTTATGTGTTTGGTAGTGTAGAGTACTCATCCTTACATTCATTTTCCAGGTAATCAAAACGATCAGCACCAAACTCAGTGAAGAGACGGATGAACTGCTATAGGACTTAAATTTTATTTTTAAAATTATGATGTAATTGACTTAATCCCGTAGCAGTCACTTATATAAACTTGTAATCCCTTATTGTTTTCAAATGCTTGACAGAATCTCGTGATGGAAAACTATATTCAATGGAAATTTTATTATTCGCATTTTTGTGAAAATTTTTATTTGGAAATTAAATTTAGATATTACATAAGTCATTTTTTATTTATAATTTTTGTTGAAGTAAAAAAAATATAACTTAAACAAAAATTATAGAAATTATGTAAACCATATGTCTAATATATAGAGAGGACATAAAAAAGATCTAAAATATATTAAACAATTTATCAATACAAAATTAATTTTAATGATGAATTAAAATTGTAAAAATAAATGTAAAATTTTTATTTTTGAAAATTATGAACTTCGTATATAAAATTTACAAAGAATCTTAAAAATCTAAAATGATATTTAATGTTTTATTAATATAAAATTTATTTTTATTATAAAATAAAACTATAAAATTTTAATAAATAAATCATAAATATATAAAAAATAATATTATTAAATTATGAGTTAAAGATCTAAATTATTTATTTTTTAAAAAATACATCTAATAAATTAAAATAACTACTCACTCATATATCATTTATTTGCTAACTTATGTTAGTATGGTTAATACCTTAAAAAATTAATTATTTAAAATTATTTTTTATCAAATATATTTAAAGATAAAATTTATTTTATATAATGGTTAGTTATATCTATATTTAATTATTAAAATAATTTATTTTTTTAATCTCTTTTGTAGAGTGTATCTAGTGAGAAAAACTTATTCTTAAAAGAGTAAAAGGTATAAATTTAAACTATATAATTATACATAAATAATTTTGATTATAAAATTTAAGAATTATATAATTACTTAAAAAATAAAATGACTTTTAAAAAATAAAAATCACATGAATTATAAATTTTAATTTTGTCATAATGAGATCTAATAATAAAAGTTTATTCCTCCTAATTTTACATTAGAAAAAACTCATCTCATCAAAATGTTACTTTACTTTGAAATAGAAAAATTAATCTCCAATAATTTTGACTTTTATTTTATTCACTTTCTCACGTTATTTTCTCTCTTAATTTTTACAATCCATTCAATTATCATATAAGAATATTTATCATTCAACCTCAAAAAAATAATTAATCACCCTAAAAAGTAACTATAACCATACTTACTTCGTATAATAACTATATGAATCTTAAATTTTACTCATTCAAATGTTAATTTACATGCTTTTAAATAAATAAAATTTACAAAAAAATAAAAAGTAATCAGATAAATTTATTTTAATGTTTGATATATTTTTAAGATATAAGTAAATATTAACGGTAAAATTTTACATCCACAAACATCTAATTAATCTAAAACTTAATATATATTATCAACGTATTAATATAAAATTATTGAATGATTGAATTGATACAATTTAACATTTATAAAAAAAATTATATAAAGTAATTATTGTTATAGTTATTCTTAAATTAATTAAATCTACACTCTAATAATTAATAGTATTTCTTATTAGATATCGAATTAATTAATATATAAGCCGATTAAAGTTAGTTATTTAAGTATAATAAAGGGGATAAACAATAAATAAAAATAAAATACTTAAAAATATTTTAATTTTCATTTAATATTTAATTTATTGACTTTGGACCCTTGATAAAAGTAAACTTTAAGTTTTATTTTTAATTTAAAAATAGTAAAATTAATCTTTAACTTTGACTTCTATTTTGTCCGTTTTTTAGATTTTTTCTCTCTTCAATTATAACATATACTATTCAATTATCATACATATAAATAAATACAATTATGATAATATTAGTATAAAAGTATAATATTAAAAGGAATAAATAATCTTATAAAATATTTACTTATAATATAATAATTTATTTTCCTTTTTTTAACATGTATATACAAAACCATGTTTCTCTCCATTTATATTTTTATTTAGATTTTTTTATATTAGATAAGGAATAATTATTTAAACACAATTTTTTATGTATTTTAAAATTAATATGAAAAAGTTTAAGAATTTATATCATTAATTTATTTAATTTAAACAGGTTTTAAATAAAATTATTAATAAAACATATTTTATATTACTTTAACGAGGGCTGTAGTAGTGCTCATCCTTGTGCTTCTTTAGATTTGCTCAAATTGGACTGGGAAGTAAGATGGTGGCACATCTCTAAAGAGAGATATTTTCTTGCTGATAGGGCTTAGTGTCACTTTCTGCTCTTCTTATTTTCTATACTCTGCTCGCTCTTTTTTCATTTTCGTAGTTTTTAATACTGATTAATAGAGTATCAATCATCACCAAGCGGGGATAGCTCAGTTGGGAGAGCGTCAGACTGAAGATCTGAAGGTCACGTGTTCGATCCACGCTCACCGCACGGTCCCTTTTTTCATTCACTTTATTTTTAAAAATATCACACCCGGGAACGAAGTGAAAAATAGAAAATTGTGCCAAAATAGTGGTCACGTGTTTCTCAAAATACAGCATCCAAAGTTTGTAACACTGCTTTTACCAGATAGAAAAACCAGCATTAGGTTACGTTCCTTAGTAACCCACAATGATCCCTAGGCAAACCACAGGCACCACCAATTGGTTCGTTTCTTATCTTATTATTTAATATAAAACTATCAAATTATTTCGACTGAAGTAATGAAATTGTAAACCAGAATTCCGTTGGACTTGAAATCACCAGGTTTGAGTTTATTTTGTTTTTTAAATAACATTTAAAATGGATTATAGTCTGAGATTTTTTTTTGAAGATAATTTTTAACGTGACTTGTAAATTAAAATGTATTTTATACTTTTTTTACATATAGAACAATTATTACTATTAATTTTATTTTAAATAATAAAAATTAGTGGTATATTTGACATGAGAAATCATAACCTCGATTCTAAAATATAGAATATCTTATCAAATTTATAGGAAATATATCAAGCACTTTTTCTTAAACTCAATATCCAGAGAAATTCTATACTAAACAGTGATGTGTCGATATCTTCTTTTACATAAAGTCATAACCGTGTAAGTACACAAAATTCATATAAGAAGATTCATTTCCATTATGCTCAAATGCTACACAAATTAACAAATAAAAATTCAAGAGACACATATTTAGTTACAAGAACTCCCCGCATAAAAATTATATATCCTACTTTCTTAGAAGGGGAGCATCTATCTTAAGCGCTAAGTTTAGAAAGCAGGTAATCCAGAATCACTTTTCCCTTATCCTTTGCTCTAAGAAATACAAAATAATCCATCATATCCCCCATCTCACCATCCTTTTCTCTTTCCCAGAAAACACAGCAAAGAGAATTATTTGCACCTCACAAAAGGAATAACAACATGGCGGGGAAAGCAGCAACCAAGTAAATGTGCAAAAAGTTGTGGATTGCCCTTATTTTGATGCTGCTAAAGGATCTGCTGAATCTTAAACTATCCCCAGCATTGCTTGATTGAGTAGTGTTCACCACTTGCTTTGTCTTATTGCTTAAATTCTTACTGCATCAATAGAAGGATAACACATTCGGGTAAAGATGCAAGTGATTAAATTTAATAATACAAAAAAAGTTCAGATCCAGAGAACAATATAAAACAATTTATTACCTTCCAGGAAATATACAGCTGCCATGACCTGCAAAAGGTATTCCCCACAAGAGTGGGTAAAAAAATATATTAATCACAATTGTTAAACTGGGAATAGACAACAAAGAACGGCATATAAAAAATGTGGAGCCCATTTTGAACAAATGCAATATCTATATAGATATTGAGAAATTATGCTTGCATTGAATACTTGATATACTTGGGCTTTGCAAAATACTTGAACAAATGCAATGTCTATATCAAAGTGATCCAGAAACATTTAACATAATCCTTGCAGTAGTCAGAGAAGGTTCATCGTTCCACTATTGAACGAGGCACTGCTATCTTGAGTTCCCTCTTTTTTATTTCAAATTTCATTATTTCCCACATAAAGTAGAGTCAAGTCAAAGTGCCTTTGCAACATGTGGGTGCCACGTACAAATGCACTTCATTTGAGTAATCATCGCCTCTCCACAGCTCCAATTTCCCCCCTTTTTTTTATCAATGGTAAATAGAAATACTTATTTCTTCATCTTAGACCATGGATTCTCTCTCAGCATCATAAAGCAATATAATCAGGAAAAACAAAGAAGGACTTTAAACACATAAAAAATGGAACCCCTTAAAAAATCTAATGACATACTAAAATCCCAGATTCCCATGAAGCAATTAGCAACACTAAAATTGAGCATTGAACGAATTCGAGAGCAATATCAAAACTGGTAAATTGACCAAAGAGACTGCACTACAAATTTATGATGAGCACTTACTGGGGTCAGTGGTTGTGATGGTAGCTACACCTTTGAAGTCACAAGAACCAGTAGACTTGGCCTGATTCTGGTAATAGCTATCAAAGGCATAAGAAGCATGATTCTTGACATTGTTAGGCTGATAACAAGTCTCCCCAGGTTGAATCTCAGAACAATTAGCCCGGCCTGGCCCACATGCCCAATCCAACGCAGCCTGCAAAGTCTTGGAATCAACACTATCCATGGCAATACAATACGTCTGATTGGCATTATCATTGGCTAGAAAAGTCCCAATTCCAGAGACACGAAGCAAATAAGAGGGCGTAGCATTCCCATAAAACAAACCCCAATTAGCCTCAGACACAGGCGGGGACCTCAAATCCTCGTTGAAGAGTTCATAAATATAAACACTCGAAGTGATTTCCGGATGCAAAGGGGTTCCACTACGATCCAAAACATGCTTAATCAAATTTGAATTGTAGGTAACAGCGTTTTCCCTAGTGGCATAAGGCTCCTTCGTATCCCCCTTGGAAGGCCAACCCGTTTCGGTGACAAGAACAACAACATCGGTGACGTTGAAATTCTTCATGGAGAAATAAGCAGCGTCGATCATAGCGTCGAGAACGTTGGTGTAGTGAAGCAGAGTGTTGGGGTCCACCATTTCCTTGGAAGAGGTAAGAGGCTTGAAGAGGGTGTTGTCGAGAGGAACCAAGCCCTTGTTCTGCATGAAGACGTAGTAAGGGTAGAGGTTGAGCATGAAGGGAGAGTTAGTTTCAGAGAGGAACTGAAGGAGAGGGAGGATGAAGGAGGAGAGGGTTTGGTTGAAGTAAGCTTGAGAAGGAGGGAAAGGGTCGAGGATGATGGAAGCAGAGTGAGGGGTGGAAACGACGACGTCGTTTTGGAGATTGGAAGCGACGAGGGCGGCGTGGAGGGACTGGATGGCGGGGAGGAGAAGTGGAGCGGAGGATGGGACGGTGGTGAGGACTTCGTCGCCGACGGAGATCCCGGCGATGAGGGTGCGGGGGTGGAAAGCGACGACGTTTTTGCGGATCCAGGAAAACGCGGTAGCGTTGGAGGAACCGATTGCGAGGAGCTGGTTGTTGGGCACGCTGATGGTGACGCGAATGTGGGTGTCGGACAGTGCTCGGAGGATGTCGGGGTCTGCATCGTAGAGACGGATGTGAATTATGTTTTGTTGTTTGAGGAAATTGACGATTTCTGTGGGTTTTAAGAGGTTGGAAACGTCGGTGCCAATGTTGAAGCCGACGAATGGGTCAGAAGTAGCAACGAGTTGAATTAAAGGTAAGAAGAAGAGGGTGCTGAGAATGGAGTTTGTCATGATTCCACTTGCAATTCAATTCATTGTGCTCCACTTGAGGCTTTTGCAGCATTTTGGGGAGTTTGAAATTGGAATCATAGGAGAAGTGGAGGCAAAGGCGTGTAGAGTACAGAGATTTATGAGCAGAACGCAAAATACGGGGGAGTTTACTGCGCTATTCTGTGTTGTCTGTTGTGTGGTCCAGAAAGAGTCCTTCCTTCAAATTCTACACTCAACACCTTCTTCTTTCCTCAATTGTCTCTATTATCAGAGATGAGAGACTATTATGATTTTAATTGATGCGGTCGTATTTATTATTACTATGTGCGTTTTACAAAATTAGTGAATTAAATTTTAAGAAGTATTAAATTAATATATAAGTGAAAGTGACATAAATTTTTATTTTAAATTATTTTCTCATAATTTAAAATTTAGTAATTATTATTTTCAAACAATTATTATTTTTTATCTTAAATCATTTTAATATTAAAAAATAAAATACTAATGTTTTAAATTTATTCTTATTTTTTAATATTTTATTAAAATAAATGACAAAACATAAATACATTTATATTATACCGTAAAATATTATTGATATACTTTTTCAGTATTTTAATTAAAATCATTTTATTGTAATCATAAATTTTTTTCTTTTTAGACCATAATTATATTTTTAATAAAAGATAATTTTAATTAAGTCAGATAAAATTACTGTAAGTGAAAAATCTCACCATAATTATAATTTAAATTATTTATAAACATTTTATGGGATACAAGTAATTTCATATATAGTATAAAATATATTATCTTCAATTTACTATAATTAATTATGAAAGAAACTATCTATGACTACTAGTCCAAATACAGCCTGACTTTTTTTTTAAAGCAAAGTAGAGAAAGAAGAAAATAAAAACATTTCACGGGGCTTGAATTTGATAAAGGAAATTGACTTTAGAAGGAGAAAAGAAAAATGAATAAAATGGTGGCATTATTGTATGAACCATTTACAGTTCTGAGGGGGAAGACAATGGCTTTAGTTTCATAAATCAATGATGCTTGTGACTAGTTTAAATTGAACTTTAAATTCTTAAATTTCAACAGAACAGCCTGGCTTGGGCAGAGAGACGTTGCTTGCTCAGTGGTGCATCCAAAAGCTTTTCTTACTTCCAACTTCTGGCACGTTCTCAAAACAGATAGAATGTTGATAAAGAAATCAGAACATTGATACATAATAATTTTATAAACATGATTGTTAACTAAGAGTGAACCACTTGTTCATCTTGTCAAATTTCTCTCCCCCCCCCCCCCCCCCAAAAAAAAGACTCCAACTTTATGACTAAAGGCTTAAGAACATCTACCAGTTCAATACCTTTTTGCTGTGATCATTTATATATAATATATAATCTACTTTACTAAATACATATTATATATATATGTGTGTGTGTAACTTCCTCTTGCTGAGAAGAGCATATCCTCTGCGGCGTGTGCTTTAGAAAAAGTTCTCTAAAATATGTTGTCTAATTCTTATTCCACGATGACGTCTACATGTAAAAGTAAAAGATACACTAATTTTACATGACCGATCTAAGCAATAGCACTGACATAAAACACCAGTGACTTGGTCACCATACTTACCACACTAATGAATATCGAACTATAGCATGTGTCAAATCTACCATTGTCAAATATTTGAATAGCTCTTAACCTATTGCTTTCTTGATCTCATAAAAGGAACTTTTGGGTACCACCGTTTATTTGCCACTTGGAAGCTTTTATATTTCATTGGCAATCGTAATAATTAGTTTAAGAATAACAATCATTATGTTTGCTTAGATAGCCGACTTAAGATCAATAATAGGAAAGGGAAGGATATTGAGATGTCTCAACTCTTGCCCACTAATTAGTAAATACTCTCTTTTTCATAAATTGGAAGAACGTGAGGATGATGTTGAACCGCCCACTAACACTTTACAAGGAAAATAGACAAAAAGCCAGACCGGCCTAAATAACTATTATATACCATTTGTAAATGGTTTGTTTAGTCATTATGAATGTAATTATGAAAATATGATTCGTTTATAGTTTGCAAAGATTCAGTTTAATAAAAAAATTATTTTTAACTTCAATTTAAATTCCAGTTTAGAATTTAAAATTATACAAATAAATTTAACCTAAATAATAATTATATATCAATTGAAAATAATTTGTATAATTATGATTTAGTATCAGCGTGTTCTAAGTACACGTTTCTTGCAAGAAACACTTTAATGTTTAATTTAGAAAGAATTTAATGCTAGAATATGGATAAACATAAAGTATGTAATGTACTCGAGGCTTAGAGTTCTTTCTTTTATATAAGCATTGATTTATCATTTTGTTTGAGTTTTTATCTTTGCTAGAAACAGGTTTATTAAGTATGATTTGACGTATATAACAAGTTTTGAATGGTTAAGCATTTTAATTTGTGACTATGCATTTTAATTGTTGATTACTAAAATAGGTCTTGTGAACACCTATTTTAAAGATAGGGGTAATCACATGTTATTGTAGTTATATTGTTGATATGTAGTCATTACTTTAATGAAGAGTTTACTATAAATATCTTTAAAAAAACAGTTTAATGTTATTTCATATCATTTCATGTCAGTTATTCTCTAACTTGATGCTATTACGAGGTAATAGGACAAGTTGAGGATTTCACTTTTATAATGATAAATTAATTGAGTCAATTGCTTACAAATTATTTTAATTCTAAATACGTCAAGTAACTACACAAGACTTTATTATTATTATTATTATTATTATTATTATTATTATTATGTAAATGTAATTTATTTATATATTGCAAACTATAATTTAGTGAATTATAGATTAAAATTTAAAATCATACTGAAATACACTCTACCATAATTTTTTTCTAAAATTATTTGTAGATGAACTCTATTTTTACTCTAAAAATCATGGTTTGGAGAATACAAACTACCATACAAAACATGCACTAAAATGTTTAATAGACAATGTTTCTTTTGACACAGCAATAAACTGATAAATGAAGAAATAAAATGTGTCTTTATATAAATAAATTTAAATTATATATTTTTATTGAAATGTATTGTTATGAACTCAAAAATAAAAGTAGTTGTAGGTAATGAGCACGTGGGGACATGAGACCCTATGGACACATGACAAAGAGTAAGAAAAACAAGGGTAAAGAATAGTCAATTTTATATTAAATGATTTTGTGTGGAGGACCACATGATTATAAAAGGAAAACTACTAGAAGAAAAATGGTGTAGATGGTGTGATTTCTCTCTTTCTCTCTCTTGGCCATTTTAGGATTTTTTTTGTCATTTTTTTTTGTGCAACTTCTGTTTCTTTTTTATAATTGTTGACAGCTTGTTGCTTCAGTATTTTCTTATGGTATGAAATTCTAAAATTCTATAATACGATATAGATTATTTTGCTCTTACCTTTTCCTTACTATTTCATTGATTAATTAAGCACGTTACATTTGGTGCTTTCATACCCAGCATGGCCAAAAACACACGCCTCAAGGAGCTTGACACCAATGTGAAGAAAATCTTGGACCTCATGGAGAAATGCAATCTTAGTTATACCGAACACTTTGAGAAGCTTGAGTTGGCAATCAATGACGTTTCCAAGTAGAATAACTATGGTGGTCCAAACTCAAAAACCAGCTCTAAAAGCATCACAATCTGCCATTTTAGGTAAGGAATATTAAGCTTGATTTCCCTAAATTTAATGGTACAAATGTTCTGTAATAGATCTTCAAGGATGAGCAATTTTTGGGTATTACTCCACCCTTAAGCTCCAACGCTTTCCTATTGTTGCGATCCATTTGGAGAAAGATGTTGTACCCTGGTTTCAGATGATGCAAAAGAACATCCCCTTCCATTCCTAGGAAGGTTTTACTAAGGCATTAGAACTCGAATTTGGTACTTCTCCCTATGAATGCCTATGATATGCTCTGTTTAAACTATCACAATTGTGATCTGTTAATGATTATTACGAAGAGTTCACTGCTTTGGCTAATTGCATTATGGGCCTTACAGTAGATGCCTTATTGGATTATTTTTTAAGTGGCCTCAAATCTGAAATTAGAAGAGATGTATTAGCTCAATCACCAAACTCGATTCTTAAAGCTGTGTCCCTAGCCAAACTTTTTGAAGAAAAATACAACACTAACATGAAACCTTACTTTTCATCTAGCAACCCAAAAACCTCAAAGACAAAACCAAACACAAAACAACACTAGAAAACAAATGTCTTACCACTTCTGTTACCTCCACCAAACATGAAACTATTTTCCCAACCATTCAAACCTTTGAATGTCAAAAACACCGCCCCTACTGAAATGCAAATCCGTTGAGAGAAAGGTTTGAGAAAGATTTGTTCTATAATTATGACGACAAATTCATCTCAAACCATAGATGTCCAAATAAACAAGCTTATTTATTTATTTAATACAAATACAAAAAGAAATTCCAAAATTAAAATAAAACAAAAAATTCTCTATCTGGGGCTTTTTTCTGCCATGTCAACAATAGTTTTGTTTTTATTCATGATGAAACTATTTTTTATTTTTAATTAACCAATTTTGTCTATAGAAGAGACGAAACTCTCATAACGTGACACGTGTAGTAGTTTCATCCAGATACAAGATGAAAAAAGGAAATTCAAAAATTGCATCACCTCTAGTAACACATGACCCAATCAGATGAGGTTGGCAGTAGGAAGAGAGAGAAAAAAAATAGGTTATGTTATTGTGTGGAACGCATAGAGTTACGAGAGCGTGAATAATGTAATAATAAATGAGGTTGGTTGTGGGAAAAGAGAGTAAAAGAAATGGACTGTGTTGTGTAGAGTTACGAGAGTAGGAATAATGAAATAATAAATGAGATTGGTAGTGGGAAGAGAGAGTAAAAGAAATGGGTTGTGTTGTATAGAGTTATAAGAGTAGGAATAATGAAATAATAAATGAGATTGGTGGTGGGAAAAAAAAGAAATTGGTTGTATTGTATAGAAAGTGTAGAGTTATAAGAGCAAAAATAATTAAATGATAAATAATGTTGATAGTAAGGAAAGAGAAAAAGAAGTGGGTTGTGGAGAGTTACAATAGCAGACATAATGAAATAATAAATGATGTTGATGGTGGAAAAAGAAGTAAGCTTTGTCTCCTTTTTAGACAAAATTGGTTAATTAAAAAAAATAGTTT